TACTCCTTCATACCGTCGACCCGCGGGCATGCCTCTAGCAGTTCCTCTAGACCTCGCCCCTCGGAGACCATCCAGAGAGCACAGACCATCCTTGGACTCCTATCTGGACATGGTCAAGGAGAGGACGCAGCCTGTCTACATGCGAGTGTGGGATCGGATGAGGAACAACCAGGATCCAACCGACGACCTCAGTGGAGTAAGCGTGGGCGATATCGTGAACGAAATAGTCAGGAGAGGTCTAATCGGTGATAACATCAGCAGTGATATCAGTGATGGCAATAGTGATAGTGGCTGTAGCTCGGGCGTAGAACTGACTCACATCAAGACGGAACTGGTGGATTCTGATGATTCAGGTGGGTTTTGGTTTTGGAAGTATTACTTTGGGTTTAAAAGGGTATAAAATTGTATACGCATGATAGTCTGTGGTTTTAGGCAGTATTGTAGTTTGAAGTGGGATTCAGGTCCTCAATTCGAAGTCTCCGGGGCCAACTTTTGAATTTAGGCGTCAACATCAACGGGGTAGGTAGGTTTTTGTGCTGATACAAATATATTATCATATATTTAGATCTTCTACCTACACGTACGCATGTACTGTTTGGGAACAAACTATATTCATCTTCAACTTAAAAAATACTGCTGTATCCGTGCCGTACATAAATGTGTTGTAATACAGTATTGCAACCCTAGTATTGACTGGGTCACTATTCAAAATGTAAGTGTAATTTCTTAAAGATCTGAGGTACTGTCGAGTAGCCTGTTTTCGATAAAACGATTTTTTACACCTTTTAGGGTCTCGATTTGAGATTACCGTTAGCTATTTATTAAACTGCCAGGTAACGAGTATTTATTACTAGTAATGCTTAAAATTCTGTTGACCTTGAAATCATGATCCGGAGACTAAGAGTGCTATAATTTACAACAATACTTTTTTCTTGGAAATAGGGGTTGAGATTTTTGTTTAAAACGATTTATATATTTATACTATAGTTCGTGAGGTGATGTTATCGGTAAGAGCTCGTTAGCACGCTACGTGTTTTTTTTTTATTGTTTGTGTAATCTGTCATAATATAAATTATTGCAAATTTTAAAATACCCTTTTTAACTTATCAAAAAGAATATTGTTGTAACTGGTGTCAGCAATTACATAATTACGATTTTTGTCAAACAACACTCATCATGCTGGTTCAGTACAGTGTGTGTGAAAAGGTACAAGATGTCATCTTAAGTGAACATCTTGTGTGTCTTATGCACACTGTACTGAACCAACAGAGAGTATTATGTTTTGTTCATCTAATAAACCTCCCCCCTATAATAGGCCTAGAGGGGAAGATACCAAAGGGGTAGGTTTTAGAGTCCTTATTGGAGAAAGAGTGATTAACTCGGGGCTCCTATAAGCTGTTATCTGTTTGCTTCTTAGGTTTAATTCTTCTCTAGATAATAATAATTTGAGATACCTAAATGAATTAACCCCTATATGTCTTCTACATGTATTAGAGTGATTAACTAAGGGCTTCTACCAGCTGTATAGGTTATTGGTTTGCTTCTTAGGTAATTTCTTCTCTAAATACTAATTTGACCACTTGAGAGGTATTAAGGTGTTAGTATTATTGGTATCTAGTTTGATTATATCAGCCCTAAAAGAAAGAGTATTAGATGATTGTGTATATATGATATATGGCTTAAAAACATGGTAAACTCCCAAGAACACTTCAAATTTGTTAAATGTGGACTGGTTAAATGTGACATGAATCAGTCATTTCTTTTGTATCGCCAAAGAATGAGATACATTTCTATAAAGATGACAGCTTGCAAATATCTACAAGAGTCATCCCATTGATCAGCAAATATTAGTCCAGTTAGCATTTTACTGTTGTACACTGTCACCATATACCTCAATGTTTTGATTTGGTTGATAACCAATAGGATAACTTGTTAAGTTGATCTATTTTAAGATAGATAAAGACTGATGCTATTGTAGTTGTACACTATAGAAAACATTTGAAATTACTAGTCTAACAACTGAGAGAATTAAATCATAAATTAGAATCAATTAATGGTATTCTGTCAGCAAATATCTGCGGAATCATTGTTGTTAAATCATAATAACATATGTCAATCTTTTGAGTGTTTTAAACCAATTATATACAAAATATACTATGATAGTTGGGTTAATAAAAAGAATGGTTATAAATGTACAACATTTTATTATGTAAAAATATTTTTTCAACATTAAGAAAAAATGTTTACACAATTGAACATATTATACAAAGTCAGTTTGTTTTGCATGAAATTCTGGTTTACAATACTTCAAATTATTTTTATACCTCCAGAATTTACTGTTCAATACTGAACAACAACAACAGAGTTTAAATAATCTATATGAACTATCTGTACAATCTTTTACACAATTTGAATTTTTCTTGCAGGAATCACACGTCTTCATTCTTCTTCTTATCCCATAATCTATCCAGTTGGCTAGATGTGAAGAGTTATGAGGTGTAGAATTTTCCAATTCCATTAAACGATTATATGTAACTTGTGCATTTCCTGTTAATGAATTTGTATTTTCTGAAAGTACTTGGAAAATGCAAGTGACTAATTTATTTCTATTTGATATAAAACATTTTCCATTGATTATATCATGAATTTGCTTTTGAATTAATGGAATTTTCTTCTTGAATATTTGAAACATTATTTTAATTTCTTCTTTGCTATGTGGACTTAATTTCCCAAATCCCAAATTCATAATTAGATAATCTCTAATTAGAAACTTTAAAAATTCTTCATAAGTTACCATGTTTGGCTATAGAATATTAATAACTCTAATCTCACCTGTAACTGTTATGGAGTGACTAACTCTACATATTATTCCATCAGGTTATATAGTAAAGTAGAATACAAACAGTTTGTAAACCAAAGTGGTAGGTCCAATGTCATACGTGACTACACATGAACATAATGTTATCAAGGTTAATGTCAACTAAGCTTCTGTTATATTTAACCAGTTTTCTTTTAAAAACCTTATAACCCATAATATTTTTTGCAATTATATGGACTAACACTATCTTATATGGACACAGATTGTCTCTACACAAATAAAGACTGTCTGTACATAGATACAGATAGCTATCATGTACATGGATACAGAAAGCTCTCTACATAGATACAGATAGCTATCATGTACATCGATACAGATAGCTATCAGAAAATATTATATTACCTATCAAGCCAAATAGATTAGAAGGGCTAAATAGTTTAGACCCCTATAAATACCTAATAATAAATCCTAAATAGGTATAATAATAAATACCTATAAATACCTAATCTGTGGTAGAAGCCTAATTTACAGGTTGATACCAAATGAAGCTACCTATATGGAAAACCTAATATAAGCCTAGGGGTGGACACCAGTACTCAATAAAAACCTTTTAGAACCTAACCCTTTAGTACCCTAATTTACAGGTTGATGCCAAATGAAGCTAACCAAAAACCTAATATAAGCCTAGAGACCAGTACTCAACCTTCTATAGGAGATAGGGCTTGAAGCCTATTATAGGGGGAGGTTTATTAGATGAACAAAACATAATACTCTCTCTTGGTTCAGTACAGTGTGCATAAGACACACAAGATGTTCACTTAAGATGACATCTTGTACCTTTTCACACACACTGTACTGAACTACCATGATATTTTATAAATGTTTATACATGTTATTATAAAATTAGTCACTAATGGTTGTAGATACATTGGAGAAAGGTCTTCTACAGTTGTTCTTGAATATCACATTGTAAACCCATTGCATCGAATTGGAGGACTTTAAAAGTATGTTTTAAAAAGCAGAAATAAGTTGTATCGTAAGCTTTGACTATTAACGCAGTATCTAATGATGATCATGAGTAAATGTTCATCAATTTGTTACCATATTTTACTAAACAAGCCAACTTATGAGTATTTATAACAGTTACTGTCCGGAAAATGATTTTGGTTGTTGGGAAGATACTCGTTGCATGTACTAACTAGTTTTGTGTCGAGCTGCTTTGTTACCATGTATGGAATTGGCCCATGTTTTACAGTGAGATATTGCTATTATAGAATCAATTTACGAGTTCTTTCCTTCAACGCAATTTGAAGAACATAACACTGAATCCGCATTTAGTTTAGATCTTCCAACGGTTAAAGACAAAAAATAAAAAAATACAGCATAATCGGACCATGGAAACACAGTTTCATGGGGTCATGGTATGTTTCCCTAATATTTTGACCTTCAAAATATACGATTCCCTAATTTCTTTTTAAGTTACTTTGAAGAGCTTGAATACAGATAGTATTTTTTATGTTTATTGGTTACGAAGAAATAATTAGGAATGTAAACCGTAGTAGTTTGCTTGTTTATGAGTATATATATTGATCAAACTTGGCAAAAAGTATACATTTTATATTTTATTGAATATTTTATATTAAAAAAAAAACTTTTAGCCCTATTGTCGTATTTTAGCAGCAAACCTAGGTACTATTTAGGCCTATGTTGTTAAAAAAGATTGTATTGAAAATGAAATAAGGCAAATGTAAATTCGCTTAGCCTGCAGTTTTGCTGTGGGGTTGTTAATACAATACAATGTGCTGTGTTACGCCCAAGTTGTTGGCTACATTATGCTGTAATATTTAAACAAAAAGTGCTTACAACACATGAATCTGACTCACTAATTCGTTATAATCGAACGATAAAGGATACAGATCCTGTGCGGGAAAGCATTTTTTAGCAGATTGCACAATTGGTTGGAAAGCCTAGCCCGTCAAACTGCCACTGCATTTTTGTAAAGAAAATTCACAAGAAGGGTTCACTCTTTACCTTTACACAATCCTACAAAAACAGTAAGTTGTCTATTACAGTATCAATTTGCAAAATACATTTATGTGCATTGTGCACCTTCTTTTATGCTCATGGAAGAAGGTTGTAAAACATTTAATTGGTAAATTTCATCCCCTATGTCCTGTTGCAGGGAGGTGCGAGGATGACGACGATTCAGACGTCGCCAGCCCCGGTGGTTCGAGAGCCACATACATGTCGGCCAACTGTGTCGTCTTCACCCACTACACAGGAGATGTCGCTAGTGTCGTGGACCAGCACTTCTCCAGAGCTCTGTCGTACTCACAGGACAAGGCCTCCCCCGGCTCCGACAAGGGTGAGTAGTAACAAGTGCAGATAGTATTGTCTCCTAGTCCTTCGTCCAATAGTTTATGGCCCTGGCGAGTACCGGGTAGAAGAGTGGTCGATGGGTTCCAGGTTCCATCCTACAAACCTTAGCGCACCGATAAGCGTTGCATAAGAACTCAACGTTGGCAATTGAGGTTAAATTACCTCCTTCACAGCAATCCTGCAGGCGAAGTGAATTTTTATTTGTCTCATTTGATTTTATTATAAAATCTTCGTAAACAAGTCATGCTTACTCACTATAAAATATGATATGTAGCATGTCATAATAACATGAGAACATAGGTTTGGTGCTCTGGGAATGGAAATTTGAACGGGTAGTGTTTTGAGCCTCTGGGGACATGAAAAATTTGTTAGTCCCGTTTAGGTCTTTCCAAGCATTACATCTATGTGTGTAGCTTTTCCCCTGTGGAGAATTTCGGTTTTGTGGGCGAGAGGGTGATAAACACTAATGTTAGGTTTTGTCAATGGCCATTGTCTTTATCAGTAGACTAAGTCACTTCGTAAGTGATGAAGGATTAAAACTTGGTTACATATTGTAGACAATTTCTTTCTATTGTACGTAATTATGTTATCTGTACTGTTGCTAAATATTGAGAATGGATATAGCTTGTAACAGAAATAGAGCGAATATTTTGTAATAAGGTCGTTGTGTGTTCATACTGGTGGTCCTGAATGTGCCTCAATTGGTATGAAATATGGCAGTGACCACTACTATGATATTTCCGTGACGAGTGTATAACTGCTCTACTACTTCCATTATTTTACACTCCATGAAACCTGATATTCTCTTGTAAACAGGTTGTTATTTCTCTTGTCCGCAATAAAAATCATTCTTTACTACCCGTGGTCCAAGCTTGTCAAGCTTGACAATTTCTGACATAGTTGACGGTCGGGCGGAGGTTCGGTTGTAAAGTCAATGTTGTCAGGCTCTGTGAATTTAGAAATTATTAGTACCGAGCCTGTACCGTGCAAACTTTCAGGGTTGCGGTACAAAGAAAATATAAAAATGGACCCCTATTACAAGTCACTCTTGATAAGTGTAATGTTTGTATACCATAGATTGTGTGTCGTTTCAACTGTTAATACAGTACATGTTACTGCGAACTTCCACCTTTATTATTATACAAGTCCCCTCACACAAGAGACTGGTTGTTGTACTGATAATATAATGTACCCATAGCTTAGGTACGTAATTATAATCACAACTAAGTGCAGAAAGTGCTATTCACTGACAATATTCATCTCTGTTTTGAAAACTCTTTGCCAAACAGCGAGTATCGACCGTCGAACTCATTCTCTGAACCAATTGGCCGATCGGGGTAATTAATTTGACAAACGTGTTTAGGTTGGCAGCAGTGCTCTATAAATCGCGAAGTCAATGACAACTGTATGTTTCGGACACAAATCACGGCTGCCAATAGCACGAAAATACTCTCTGCATTGATGTACCATCGAGGTGTTCTTTGTGGTCGATTTTGTGTGGATAACCCGAATTGCATATAGTGACTGTTTGAAGACCACTCCTTAGGAGTGCGTGGTTTTAGCGAATTTCCCCATAGGGAAGTAGTTCTCCTTCCACGTAGAGTTTTTCCATGTAGCAGCAAATCTAAGTTCTCGTTAAATCAATGATGTTTCAATAGTCAAATGTAAGAAGTGTGAGGAAATGTTTTAGTCTAAATGCATTCAGACAAATTATTATAAAAATATTACCTAATTAATTAAATTATTAATTAGTTAAGGGAATTAGTTTAGTCTGCAGGTTTGCTGCGACGGAGGTAACCTCTATCCCCCATTAATGTACTAAAGGTTTCAACGACCCAACGATTTCAGCGTTCGGTTAAAATAATCTGATTGCCAATATTCTTTTAAATTTTTGCACTGCTATGCACCTCTGCCCTGTGCACTGCGCATCTGGCAGACGCATATATTGTGTGCATCGCAGATCGCATCCCGAGCCATGGCACATCTGGTTAACAAATTAGATCAGCCTCCATCTATCGGCTACCGTACAATCCGCTGTTGACTTTATAACATTGTCGTCTGCATCTTCGTTGCCTACTTATGGGGATCTTCCGTACAATTATTAATTTTTGTTTTGGTCGACTACTTGCCTTTCGCTAGCATATTTGATTGTTTGTTTTTTAACTAAGCGGATTATTCATTCTGATCAGTTTACAATGTTCTTGGATTTTCAACGGGTTGATTTTGTGGATTTCAGTTTACACTCGTAGGTGCATCCTTTCTCAATTGGTGATAAAATAATAATTATGATATGATATAATCTTGATGATTGGTGACATGACCTAGTTGCTCGTCAGACCTGTGTAACAAAGATCGTAATTTATAATGTGTTGGGGACGACGAAGAGATTTGTGATGAAAGCCTCTCCATAAAATTTCCCTCTTTTAGCTCAAGTTCCCATCTTGGTAAAGGGTTAATTTTTTAGCTAAGCGAAAAAATTGGTGACATTTTCTGTGATATCTCTGCAGTCGAGACAGCCCTTGTTCCTAATTATTAGTTTCTCTGACCCCTACCAGGTTCTTAAAACAAAATATTTCACTGGATCACTAATTGCACTCAACATCAACCTGTCGACTCCTTAACTCGACTTCCCAAACGCTGACCTTGAGTTAACCACGTAACCCTTGCCGTGAGAGTGAGACCCGTTTATTGATGGGTGCTCGGGGTAGCCCATTAGACGACTAGGGCAGTAAATGGCTGGTGGCTGATGGCCCGATAAAACTAGTCGAGCGGGCCGAGCTGAAAAAGTAAATATAAATCTGAAAACGGGCGAGCGATAAAACATTGAAGTGCAGTCATTTACCACAGCGTGGGAATGAGCCGGTGATAATATATCAGATCGGCGATAGCGCGACACGGAGACATGCTTATTTCCAAACTTCGCCGGGCTCATCGCCTTATTGTACAGGTCACTTTGAGCGCGCGCCGCCGCTACCTCGCGACCGACGAGGACATTGTGTTGATCAATATAGGAGTGATAGAAGCACGGGTTTAGATTATGTTCGCATCCACGCTGTCGTAACTGCACAAACTAATTGAGTAACTAAAACAAGTTGAGGAGTAGATTGCCGCGTGCCGTAAATTGAAAACCGAAATAGGAGTAATTGTTCGTCAATTCGAAAATAGAATTCACCCATCATGGTATTGCCGGCTCGTCTATTAGTTTTAGCGCCAGTTTTATTTTTGGTATAATGGTATAATTTCAACGGATACATATTGAACATTTAAAATTTTAAGGAATGGTGAGGCAAGGGACTACTAACACCCGAACACTACGACATACACATGTTGCAATCAGACAAAGGTGGCATGAATTTTTGCATTGAGGTTTGATTTGCTGAAAGGTTGTCGAAAATGTCCTCAGCATTTTGCACTTTGGAGAATCGGAATCCACAGAAATTTAAACAAAGGTAATCTGAAAGTAGTTGCAGTATTTCTTGGCGCTTTTATTGTAAATTTTAACGATACCGTTAACAAATTGAGGTTCCAATACATCCAGGAGCAACCGTGGCCTGACCCCCTCAAGAATTCCTCTCCTAATCAGTTCACACCGAGGGAGGAGCCGAGGAACGCATGAACACGATCGCAAGACAAGTTAAACAACACGTCTCTATGAAATTTATCGAATCTGCAGCCCAGATCAGATAGCGGAGGTATAGCACGGCCACTTTGAAAGTCTAAACCGCCGCTCGTCCCTCGTAGCTCGTATTACCCGCCGTATTTGCACACAATAAGCCAGCTGACACATTCATTACGCACCAAATTATCCCGTACACCTCCGAGACAGCTGAATCATAACTACCTTGTTACGATCGTAAATGCACTTATCTCGTTGTCGGTGTAGTGAGGTGTTAGGGTAAGCGGCTTTTCTTGGTTAGCTTAGAAGGTTGAGTTTGGAGCACGGTTGGTTTTCTAGGGTTCTTCTATCTCAGTTCCTTTTACGTAGATTACGAAACGGAATCAGAAAATGCGACACCGAATTGGCCTGTTGCGTGGTCAACAGGTATTATTATAGTTATTGGAGTTTGGGCTATTGCGATTTTGTGAGTTTTGCTTGTGCTTGAATTGTCAAACCCTCCTTGACCATATTTTGTCAAAACCTATAATATTTAGAGCACAGAATAGCTTTAGATAGATTTATAGCAGGGAAGTTATTACGGTAGGTGGCGCGGTAGTCCTAGACCCAGGTCGATTTTACTTTTTTTGATAACCCAAGAGATCGAAACCCTATTCGAAGTGGTTGTCGCTGCCACATTTTAAGACAATTTAGAAGGTTACATTCATACTCCAAACCATCCTCACAAGGGCTACACCGATTTAAACTGTTAATTAGGCAATATCCAAAATGCGCATTCAAATTTAAAGTACATTCAGGACAGGTGACAAGTAAATGTCTAGGGCAAATAAATTTCATTTCCAACGGCGGAGGTTGGTGACAGGTGACCCCTGTGTGTTGTGTGTGTGTCTGTGTGATAAGCCCCGGGGTATAATGACGTAGATGTAGGGACCGCCTACTGGGTGGTCCTCTAATTAAAACTACCTTCGCCTATTAACATTAACGCATTTGAATGCTTATCTTGTAAAACAAAGTGTACGAGGGACCTCCGCAGCGCTACCCGTCCTCCAGCGGCGGCGGGAGTGGTTGTTGGGTATGTGGCAACGCGAGTGTTTTATATATACCATTGACTGTTGGTTATATCAAACACACTGCCTTAACATACACCACAACGAGTACTATACATTATGTCGTGTAGACATTTTGTGATAACTTTTGTGGAAAGGATTTAATTTCCGTGTTGCCGGTTAGAATACAAATAGTTACTTTATCAGAAATAGAATGCGTTGATGTTAATTACTGTCCAAGCAATCTTATCCATTGTCAAACTGAAAGAACAACGAACAACTTGCTGTAGTTATAGAGTCTTTTCTGTCACTCTAAGGCACATCCTTGATAACAAAGGTCGCTTTCAAATCCCCTTAAACCGTTATTGCAAACCTCGATAAGAAGTCAACCTTGATTACAAGTCTTATTTTATAATCCCTATGAAAGTCTTGTTATCAAGGTTTTACTACTAGTAAACACTTAAGTTTACTACTTGAACGATCTACCAAAAACCTAGACATGACATTCCGCGGTTCATCTATTACAAAATGATAGTTGATAAGCTAAGTAACAAATTTGAACCATTGTGAATCAGGACTTGACACCATACTTTCTGAAGCTAAATATTTAGTGTGAAATCACTCTTGAGTTCTACCAAACTTTACACATATCCGGCAATCGTTCTATCTGCGTACATAACTTTTTTTAAATGTACTTAAAGAATTGCAGTAGAGCAACACATTACCTGATATAACAAATCAGTTACATTTATATTATCTTGCAAATATTCCACCTCCTCCATGTACCCAAGGTTCATTGTCTACCTCGTGTGGCGTATGTCTGCCCGGAGCCGCCATTTCGGAGCGCGGCTGGTTTTTGCACGCCGCTCGCCAACTCGCAATCAAGCGGTTTTTATATAATAAGTTCTTAGAATTGAGACAATTTGGTGTTTATTTAGTGCGGATCATTACCTGCCGGTAGTTGCTATGCCGGCCGCAGCACTGCCAACGTTGAAAATAAATTATATTATAGGCGATCAAGGACTATTTGTAGACTTACGGTTTTGTTCAAATATATAAACTATGAGGGTTTAGTGGCTATTGCTACGTGCAATTTTTATAGTCATTATACAAAGAAAAAGTGACCAATATACAGTCCAAGCAATATGTAGATGGGTTGGGTATATCGTTTGGCGTATTGAAATAGACCCATTACCATGCTGGAGTATCTAGAGGAACTTACTTACTTTGACTTAAGTAATTATGTTTGTTTACGGCAATCGATTTGAACTTTATGATTGTAAAGTATAAAATCAAGACACGTGTGCATTGCGTGTTATTTTAATCGAAAGTCGATGACATTTTCAACAAGGATGAAACAGAACATTGTTTTCAGCGACTAATTAAGCGACCAGCAGTTCGCTGATGCAGGTGTTGCTGTTGTCGCTTCCTTTTACAGTTTTATCTGTGTTCGAGATCTGTGGTCGAGATCTCTGATCTCAGTCCTTGTCTTCCCCGTAGCAGCAACCCTGCGTCATCTTGTTTTACTTATACATACACAGTTATACATACATGTCGTTATACGTACACCCAAAATCGATAAAGACTTTCTTGGTGTATGTATACTGTTACGATACGGAATTAACAACAGTGCAACGTCATACAATTCCCTGCTAAGTGTAAAGTGTAACCGTAAATGATGAATTGTCATATTTTCGTATGTAAACACTAGAAGGCATTATTGCTTGCTCCTCCTAGGATCAGGTGGTGGTGTTCAACGGGTGCAGAGGGCTAATAAATGCGTGGGCACGGATTTCTAAACATGGTTGTTTATTTGACTATTTCGCTGATCAACGTTAATTTGTTTACTGACTCAAACAAAGCGTACAGTGAGGAATCTGACATAGGATTTCATACTTAATGATGCTATTGTGCTTAAGGATGATATTGTGGGCTATGCGTTTCAATATAGTTGATAAAATGGGTCCTGGTTACGAGATGTTTTATATTGAAAGTTCATTGGGTCAACACGGTGGATTTGGGCTCTAAACGACCTTTCGAATAATCTGGTCATTTCGCGGGACCAAGGGCAAAGTTTCCCACATTTTCCGCATTCGCTTAACTCAGGCGTTATAAGCCACCCAATATTCAATTCACATCCTTACACCTTATAAAATAACTAATTAAATCCATCAACTTAAACAGACTTTGAACACATATCATCAGTAGAAGAATCAGCATAGCTGTCATGCTGGATCACACTACCACCAAAACATCCTCTGACCACACTCATGTAAACACCAGGGTTTACCAGTGAGTACGCCCGTTGTGACGGATCCCCCAAGGGTCGCGACCTTTGACCTCGGCCCGGGGTTTACACATATTTAATGTTATCAGCGACGCGAGGCCGGGGATATAGACGCAGACGCTATCTCGCTAGATATCAGACGCCGGCTTTTACAGCCTCTGTAAATCGGACCCGTAGGAATTGTGTTGATGATATTATGTTACGGCCTGGACATTGTGACAACCCGGCTATAACGAGCTTTTTAAATTAGCAGAGCTCGTGGGAACACCCGGATTTATCGTCGAGGGCCGCTCTTTAAAATTTTCCGCCGCGTCTTCAAATTATTTACGTACGGTCGCGAAATTCCTCCGGTTTGATTTGTGATACGGTGTAGATGCAGTTTGCGATTTTGTGACAGCGAGGAAATTTCGATTATAAAATGTATTTTAACGCGTTGCTAATGTAGGCAGCTAATATGTATCTAATCTTGTTAATTGACCGTTAAAAATAATTCTTAAATTTCCAAGTTTCAATCGTTCTCATCAATCTATTTAGGTTACCTTTAAGGTCGAACATTAATTAAATTACACGTGTTACTTCTATAGTCAATTCAATGTTGTTTAATGGGTAAAGCACAAACGCAAAAATTTGTTTTTAAGTCGGTATTAAGCTGGACTAGTGGTTAAAACGGTCTTCGCTCCCTGAGGACCCATGTTCAAATCACCAATATCACCAATAGATTTTATCCAAGTTATAGTGCCGCAACCTCTATGCCTAACCTGATCGATTGAGGGTTAGAATTTATTGTCTTAGGGTAGGAAGTTGGGACGTAAAGAAGGGTTTAATAGCTAGCCAATGTGGAACCCGGTAAGATACTTACCTTTGTTTGTGTGAGTGAGTTTAAAATGTCGTTTAAGAAACTATTGCGGATAAAGAAAACTACGTTTGGCTAACCGTGTATCAATAATTGTTTTAAAGCCACGTAATTGATAATAAATGTTGTTCCAAAATGTGATTAGACAAGTATTTTTTGTAAACCAAATTTCTGTAGCACTAGCTACTATTTTATATGTTTCTGTTGTCTCTTCCCTGGCGACTAACTCTATCCTGTTTGTTCCAGAGTGTTCCCCGATGTCTACCCGCAACTTCCCTCCCTCCTTCTGGAACCAGGAGAGCGTGAGTGTCTCCCATGGTCACGAGGGTCTGTATGGAGAGTCCATGTACCATGGGGCGACGGCACACACCCCAGCCGACCCTTGGCACTCGCACTACCAACAGTACACCGCCGCCGCGCACCACCATAGGTAGGTAGACAACAAAACCCAAAAAGTTAATAGGTAGTTTACCAGCTACTCCAACATTTATTGGAAAATGGCCTAAGCACAGAAATGCGTTTTGCAATCCTGTGAGCGCATAAAGAAACAATACGAATTCTATATTTTCTTCCCACATCTCATACTGTGCACATTATTTGTGTAGTCAGTCCTCCACCTCTCTAGCCCATACAGGTCCATATTTTTGTTAAATATTAATACCTACATCCCACAAGATTGAGTTGAAGTAATATCAATTCCTTTCCAATTTTTTTCAAGTTCTTCATGTCGTTTTCAGTCTTACTAAGGAAAATTTTTAACAAATCAGCTCTTGTGAGACCCTCGATCATCTACATCTTCTCTTTGCCAAACCTCGACTTTGTCGTTACTAATTTAAAAGAAACTCATATTCCTCAATTAGTTTTCATTGAAAAACCAACTCTTTCGTACTTTATTGTGATTTCCTGACCCTGCAGGTAAAGTTCGTTTGTTCAATAAAACCTTTCTAACCTATAGTAAGTTGTACAAGTTATCCTTCTCAACTTTTCCGCTGCATCTGAAGTGCTCTAATTAATAACTCAAACACCACGAACTCTAGTGTAAGATGTACTACGCCATTTCTTGTTTTCTTGATGATTTCTTCGTCTCCTTTCTTGCAGTTTCAAGGGTTAACAAATATCTCTACCTATTTGGCTGGTTCAAATTTGTTCACCCACTGCATTCAAAACAAAACCTCTTTGCTTAGTTTCCTAACCAATGTGTTGTTCTGCAGAGCCGTACATGACTACCACCACCACCATCACCAGCACATGGCCGGCTACGGAGGTCTACTGCTGCCGCCCAGCTCTAGGCTGCCACCTCACGCACAATACCCCAAGACTATGGATTGGAACCATAGGCTACACCATGACCAGTCCGCGCACCATCTGGACCCCGCCACATCCTACGCCTCATACCCCAGCATGGCAGGTACGTCCTATCATTACTAAGCTACAAGTCAAAAATGTACACCAAGAGTCTTTGGATTTGCGAAAATCATTGTGAATTCATAATGACACCGACACTGGCCGCGAGGGCCTACGAATGAACATCAATAAGTATGTAATAAGTGTGTATTAAGTATGAAACCCGCAAGATCCCTACGAATTAATCACAAACGATTAGAGCAAAACGTATTTGGAATTGTAAACTCAGAGGATGGGGCTTTATTTGCGTTTTCCAAGTTAGTAAATACACTACTGAGTTACCTCTGAGTTTACAATTCCAAATACGTTTTGCTCTAATCGTTTGTGATTAATTTGTAGGGATCTTGCGGGTTGCATACTTAATACACACTTATTTACCCGAATTATTCGAGTAACACATTTTGCCGGTAACGGTGGTAACGCCATAACATTGTTAGATGCAATATATTGCCTATGGAATCAATAGCCCAGTAGCTATTGAGTCGCACCGTTGAAATAAAATAAACTCAACCAGCTTCTCCACCGGGGGGAGGGGACAATTTAAATCATACTCTGTCAGTTTAAAATTCAATCCATGTCCGATGCATTTGAGGAATGCGGCAACGATTTGGTGGAATTTCGGAATCCGATGTGACAAATTGAGACGAATCAGCCGATACTCATTCAATCATACTCGCCATATCGCGATATGAAATATAACGATAAAGCATAACGCAGCATTCAGCACCTCGGTGGAGCGGTGACGGAGTAAAAGATATCTGACATCTGAGAGTTATTGAGCGAGACTTCGTCCAAGAATTTATTCAAATTCGAAACGACATGTGTCAGTCAAAACTGTATGATTCCGGACTCGAATAAATATCTTGTTTTACGCGTTCGATCCTGACGTCGTCCATCGCATGATAAATGCCAAGTCCCGGACATGTCGGGTCGAGAATCGCCAATTGATATCATAAGTGGCGTTATTTACTGCACCGGGGTTATGGGACCTTGGGATGGACGATGAGATGGTAGATATGCATGTTTTATGGTCTACAGGTCCCGGCTAATAAACGATCCAATCTGTAAGCTAAAAAAGGTTCGGGTTGAATTCATAATTAGGACATTTCATTGAATAGATGCTGGGTGTAACAGATTTATATTTGTAGATTTTTTATTTTGTTATGTCATAATGAAGTATTAGGTGGCTTTTCACTTGTAATAAATCACAATAAAGAGAGAAATATTATTAGGTAAATATTGTGTGATGCCCTAATACATAATTAAGTATAAGTTGGACATCTGTCATAGTAAATTACCGCCAAATTGTGTAATGAATGTGTGTTTCTCATAACGCAAGTTATTATGTAACTTCTTACGCACTTATTACGAACACTGTATGGATTTTGTCCAAAAACAAGTAACTCTAACGTCTATTGTAGTAAACAGTAGCTGTCTTCATTTTATGTCGTTTTGCAAAGAGATGTATGCAATTTACGTTACTCCAGATGAAAAACAAAACAAGAAATTGTATAAGTAAATTGAAATTTTATATTCACTAACTAAGCGTAACAACAATATTTACGTAAAAGCCATTGACATCTTTTTTTATGTTTAAATTGTCGAGCCCATATATTTTTTGATCACTAGTTTATTTTTGACAGAGGCTATTATACAAAAGTTTATAGTGCAGGTATACACAACTGAATATGCGTATTATTCTTCGCATGAGTTTGACGTTTTATTTTGCATATTATTTCCACTTATCGGACCTGTTAGTGATAGTAAAGCATTTGATCGCCGGTATTTGAATGTGTGGCAGTTTTCCCCTAATACTTTGTGATCCGTTTGTATAAAACAGCTCTGACGTGGACCAAAACATTGCTATTAATTGTTGCGTATTTTCTACCATTTCCATCTCCAGTTTCTCACCGAGGTCGATATTTTTTCCCCTCTCGGCGCCGGACAGGGGACGTGTATGTCCCCGGCAGTTAAATCAATGCATTATTAATTACCCAGGCCGCCACTGCAGCCACACGGCGCCACCATCGCGTCGTCAGCGGCGATATACGGTGCTAATTCGCGGCACAGCGGCTTCCTTTGACTTCTCCGTCACCACTGAAATTGGTCCTGTGCTAGCGATTGTTCTCTTCGGCAGTTTGTAATATCGTTTGTATTAAACAAGGTCGAGTAATTTATGGGAATCGCGTCGGTTTTATTTTAATACGCAATATGGAATACAATATATTTTAGTTTATACCTGGTTTCGGTGCGGTCATCGGGTTTACTAAAGAATGTTAGTTATGATCACCAAACAGCGGTGTTGAGTAAGGACACTGTCCCGGATTCAGGAAAAATACCATGTAAACAGTATACTTCCTCGTAACCGTTGAACAGTAAATACGACAAAATATTCCAGTGAGAGGGAATTCAAATAATAGTGACACAATTGTACTACATTTTAGCATATTCTCAATCCAGATATTAGTTCACTAGAACTGCCCTGGCAGGTGTCGCACTTAGGCCTAAATACTACGAACCGCAGACAAGGGAATACCAATTCTTCAATTATAATTAAGATGAATTAATTGTTGACAAATTTTTACTCTTGTCATAACATTATTTGCTTTTTAAGTAAATAAATGATTGCATGGTAGTAAACGGCTAATTTTTTCCTTCTACTTATGCTTATGCTTATGCTATCCCGAACTAACAAAAGCCTCCTTTGTCCATATTTTTAGTACTAAATCTGTTTGCTTCAACTATAACTACAATGTTAGTGGGTGTCCTGGCCCTGTTTTCCTCAGGGAACCGATAAAGTAACATATTTCCACTTAACATTTATCACAATATTTGTCCAAGCCGGTCATGAATCATTTTCTGGTGCACTGTGGCAAGGTTCTGCTCTATTTTTATTCAGTTGTATTGCAAGGTACTATCCGTTTTTACTGTGTTTGTTACATTGTATTTGATTTGACAACATGTTTATCCAGATCGATAAAATCAATCTACAAACACTAAAGAAAAGAGTCCCAGTTCAGGCGACCTTGTAGCTCGAAACCCTTTAAATCATGGAGTAGATGCGGCGACGATACGCTCAAGGTAGCCGAAGAATAAATTATAGCGATGTTGGGATGTTGGTTGGGACGGATCTACGACTCGCGGTGAAACAATAGGACCAGGAAGCTGGCCCTGGCCCGGCAGTGGTGGAATGATAGTGGAATGACGGCGGAATGTTGGCGCTACTGGGTACGCAGGGCTCCCACGGAGCGGCGAAATGTCAAACTGTCGAACACGAACGTCAGACTCAAACTACTTTGTATTTATGTGTATTTAAAGTATTCCGATTAGCAGAGAGATTTGCTGAGGGGAGGATTTGTATGTCAATTTTCCTTGCAGATGTCATATGTCGAGAAGTTTAATCAAAAGAATTGGGATTTGTTCGTTTGGCCTACGCAAATAGGAATAATTAAAAAAATGTGTACAGAACAAGACATACCCTAAATTGTAATCACAAATTTAAGGGTTCCCTTTATGTGCAAACCAAGATACTTATGGCAATACGTTTCCGCTATCATGACTTGTATTTTTGTTAATTAATTAGTGCTGAATAAATAACATAATATGATATCATTGGATAGCAATTTTTTTTTTCTCAATTTACAAAGTGGCCCAACACTGAATTAAATAACTGTTAAACAGGTAGAAAAGCTATTTAAAAATATTTAAATTGACGAAGGTAACTCTATTTATTGATTTAGTCACAAGATCAGCTCAGGGGCTAAAAAGTATGGATAAAAAAAAATATTTCACCTTCAATATAGCTAAAAAATCAATATTAGTAATTCATTTCCATTCATATGGCGTTGTATTGCAAAGTACATTCACACTATCTTAAGATAATAAGTATAGCAATACTGGAGGAATCAAGTAATGTTAAAAATTACTAAAAACCCTTTATAAGGTGAAAACTCTCTTATTTCTTTCTGTAATAAAATACGTTGAAAGCACACTTTTTGAGTTTTACACAATGAATAATTCTCTATCAATACATCAATATTCCAACGAGTATGTTTCATTGCGAGGTGCCCGGCCAGTGTTTTACCACTGGGGGTGTACTCTCTACCAGCTGCGACGATGTGATTTATTAATGACAGCTTACACGGTTTTAGCTCCACTTTTTACCCTGCGTAGTGAAATCAACCACATGATATCCGGCTTTAGCCAGCTTCCGGCATGCTTGATCAATCAAGTGGTATATTTAGCAATGTCCTTAAAGTAAAGAAGAAATTATCTGTGATTTGGGGGTGTTGGATAACTTTTTATTCAATTTTAAATTGTGAGTTCGACATCTGTAGGTAGTCCAATTGAGACTGAAAAAAATATTGAACTAAATACGATTGTTGGGCCCAAAGCCTCATCTAGTCCTAGAGAGGCTGCCCAACTCCTGAGTTAGAGCTGAGGTTTGGGTAAACTTAAAGTAGAATAAAAGGCTAAAACCTAGGTTATATCCTGTTAACAATTTTGCTGACTTACATTTTGAATTGATACTTATCTTCTTTATGCAGTATTAACAGTAATTTTTTCTACTTGTTTGTCAGATACTAAAACTACCTTCCCATTTTACATTACATTTTCCATTGTCACCTCTCATCTATCTTTATGAAGCGAGTAAGCTATGTTTTTTCACACCGGGTTTTCCGGGCCAGTTGGAGTGTTTATTTTCAACTAGTTATTTATATTTATTGGCTCAAAATAACAAATCCAGCCTTATCAAACCCGTGACGAAGCCTTACTCAAATAACGTGACCTAACGTTTTTACTGAATTTTGTTTAGAAACACTTATTCCTAAACTATGTTTCCTACTTAAACATAAGACTTAAGTAGTTCCACTCTTTGTGATAACGTTTCCTTTACAAAATCTATCTTACAATGCGGAATACGATGTCATTTTCAATTCAATTTTTTAAATACAATTTTAACTGTTTGTACACTAAACCTAATTAATCTCAACCCTCACATTA